GGTGACCTTTGGATGAGGCGTGTGGATACTGTGTGTAGGGTTTTGTATGTAGAGGAGGAGTCAGGACCTGAAGTGCTGGGCCTTAAACCAGGACCACTGAGTGGGACCCGAGGCCTGCTGAGAACAGGATCTAAAGAGCCCTCGCTGGGAGACAGGACAGGACACTCGCTGGGAGACAGGCTGCCCTCTGAGGGACACGCCCTGGGGATACAGTGGTGCCAAGGCACACAAAACCAGGCCGGAAGCCTCTCACAGTCAGCCTGGGGGGATTCAGCCAGAGGACAGGATTTTCTTTAATGATCCAACTTCCTCTCTGCCCCACAGGCTTTGTTCTATCCGCACATGGTGTGTGACTTGGCTGGGCTTCTACTGCCCTGCTTGTGTGGTTTGAGCTACAGGCTGCAGGAGGAGAGTTACCTCTGGAATCATCATTGCTTGAGGTTCCACCAAGAAACAGACCCTGAAAATCCTAAGGGCAAAAGTCTGGGGACAATTCACTGTTGAGGAGTGGTCCTCAACCCTTGTAGTATATCAAAGCCGCCTGAGAAGACTTTACAGTTAGATAAAGTCCCACCTTAGACACTGGGCTTCACTTAATCACAGGTGGGATACAAGTCCATGACTTTTTTTTAATTAAAAATTTTTTCTTTGCCATGCCACATGGCTTACAGGATCCTAGCTCCCTGACCAGAGATGGAATCCATGTGCCCTGCAGTGGAAGTGCAGAGTTCTAGCACTGAACCACCAGAAAGTCCAAGTGTGAAAGTATCAGTTGCTCAGATGTGTCTGACTCTTTGTGACCCCATGGACTGTAGCCTGCAGGCTCCTCTGTCCATGGGATTCTCCAGGCAAGAGTGGGTAGCCATTCCCTGTTCCAGGAGATCTTCCCTACCCAGGGATTGAACCTGGGTCTCCTGCATTGCAGGTGGATTCTTTTCTGTCTGAGCCACTAGGGAACTGCCAGGACATCTCCTAAGTTTGCTACATTTTAAAACCTCTGCTGGTTTTAAATCGGCAGCCAGGGTAGACAACCACAGGTTCAGAAGAACCTGCCTCACATCTAAGTACATTTCTGCAAGACAAAGTGATGTAATGTTTCCCAGCACTGATTTCCAGTAAGACTCCTTAGCACAGGGTTCACCACGCCTCCCCGCCCCCCACAGAATTCAGTACACACGCCAAACGCTTCTGTGACAAGACCTGACATTTTCAGAATCACTGGAGAGGACAATCAAATTCATCACTGATGGTGGCTTTTCTTTCTTGCCCCCGATTTCCTTGTTAATTTACCTGTCATTGTCCTACTAAGTGAACAGGAAGATTGCTTTGTTCATGGGGTGACATGGTTGTTTAGGGTGGATCTGACTGAAATGGGCTTGTCTAGTGCACATAACAGAAAGGATAATGACTCATCATCTCTTCTCTGACATCACACACTTAAGGCTATTTTAGCAATGAGGGTCTTGATTCTGACAACTCTCCAGGGCATCAACACATGAACCTAACTGGGTTTCAGAACAGAAAATAATTCCTATCAAGAATCTTTTTATCCCCAATCCTTCCTTTCATATTTTCTCCCTCTTGGGCTTTACATTTTTTAAAAAAATATACTTTGTTGAGTTTTCCCTGGTGATCCTGTGGTTAAGACTTCACAGCTCCAATGCAGGGGATGTGGGTTCGATTCCTTATCAGGGAACTGGGATCCCACATGCCGTGTGGCATGGCCAGAAAAATATTTTGCTTAATAGATAACACAGGAATGATTCATTTTCCCCTCCTATAACTGCATATGTATTTAGAATTAGCCACACTCATACTTGTTATGAGTTTCCACCCTCTATGGCTGGCTGGCCAACCAGAAGCAGACAGTGTGTGATTTATTAACTCTGGATGTCTTGCCTTGAGTGAAAGAGTTAATGTTTTGCATGACTTTTTTTGAAATTCTGCTTTTTACAGACCCTATTTCTTCCTCTGAAAGTGAAAGTGAAAGCCGCTCAGTCGTGTCCAACTCTTTGCTACCTCAAGGACTATATAGTCCATGGAATTCTCCGGGCCAGAATACTGGAGTGGGTAGCCGTTCCCTTCTCCAGAGGATCTTCCCAACCCAGGGGTCAAACCCAGGTCTCCCACATTGTAGGCAGATTCTTTACCAGCTGTGCCACAAAGGAAGCCCAAGAATACTGGAGTGGGTAGCCTATCCCTTCTCCAGCAGATCTTCCCAGCCCAGGAATTGAACCCGGGTCTCCTGCATCCTGGCATGCTGTGGTTCATGGGGTTGCAAAGAGTCAGACATGACTGAATGACTGAACTGAACTGCTGCACTGCAGGTAGATTCTTTACTAACTGAGCTACCAGGGAAGCCCCTTCCTTTCTCTGAGGATTTTTAATTGGTGATCACAGGCCTATAGTGGTGAATTCCAGTTTTAAGAGTTGAGAGGAACCATGGCAGGTCCATTCATAAAGCCACATGGCAACTACTTTGGGCCAGAAACAAAAGACTGATACAACAATGAAAATACTGTCTTTGTTTCTTAAATGAAATCAATCTGGATGGCAAATACTGTAGAACATGGGTCCATGATGCACCCTGTAGCTGGAATCTATCTTCCAAGTTCAAAACTTAACTCAGGTTGAAATAGACGTCAGGGAACCCATCTCATTCCCCCATCTTTGGCATTTAGAAAAGAGTATTGGGTTAACTCAGTCATAGAGAGTGAAGTGCCTGGTCTAGCAGGATTTTCTGGGTAAGTAGGTTCATGTAGACAATTCCAAATGGTGATAAATGACAAAGTCAAGAACACAGAAGTGAAAGCTACACAGGCCCAGTTAGAGGTTGCACCAGAGCCTAGATCAAGCTGAAGGCCCAAAGACCAACCTGTGATTCCCAGCATGAAATATTATATTTTATAAAGTCATGCAAAGCAAAACTATCTAACGAGGAACATCTGATTAGGAAGACTCTGATTCTAAAGTCTTTTTTTTTTTTTTAAATTTAGGCTGTGCTGGGTCTTCATTGTGGGGCACAGGCTTCTTTTCGAGTATGGCACGCAGGCTTAGTTGCCTTGTGGCATGGAGGATCTTAGTTCCCTGACCAGGGATTGAACCTGTGTCCCTTGCATTGGAAGGATGATTCTTAACCACTGAACCACCAGGGAAGTCTCGTGAAGGCTTTTTTGAAACACAGATTCTGGTTTTCATTTTCTGTCTCTTTCAGTCCTTTGCTTTCAGTTCTACTACTATTCTAGTAGTTATGTATGGATGTGAGAGTTGGACCATAAAGAAGGCTGAGCTCTGAAGAACTGATGCTTTCGAACTGTGGTGCTGGAGAAGACTCTTGAGAATTCCTTAAACAGCAAGGAGATCAAACCAGTCAATCCTAAAGGTAATCAATCCAGGATATTCATTGGAAGGACTGATGTTAAAGCTGAAGCTTCAATACTTTGGCCACCTGATGCAAAAACTGACTCATTGGAAAAGACCCTGATGCTGTGGAAGACTGAGGGCAGGAGGAGAAGGGGACGACAGAGGTTGAGATGGTTGGATGGCATCACTGACTCAATGGACATGAATTTGAGCAAACTCTGGTAGTTAATGAAGGAGAGGGAAGCCTGGTATGCAGCAGTCCACGGGGTCAAAAAGGGTCAGATAAGACTTAGCAACTGAACTGAACTAACAATATCCTGCCATAAAAGCTCCCCTCTTTGCCCTACCTCCCCTACTGATTCTGGCTGTGGAATAGACCTTGGTCCTTGTCTTCTTTGAAGAAAGAATTCAACAAAGAGACAAAATTTATTAGAAGCACAGTATGTGGAAAGCACATGGGGGAACCTGGAGTAAGCTTGCACAATAGAAGGCTGCTTATTGGGGGCAGTTTTCCAGGTTGTCTCTGGCCAATCATCTTGCTTGTGCCCATCTTTTGTCTTTCAAAGGGCAGCAGGAAGCCAGCTTCAGGTGCTCAGCCTGGAGCCTATCTAACTCCTACCTCATTACCAGAAGTCAGTATAAACAAGAACTAGTCATGAAAGCTGGTGTGTTCAAGGAAGAAAGTGAGAAATCTAAAAGAACAGTGAAATCTACAGATTCCATCTACTGCACTTGTATTGCCAGACAGGAAAAGGAAAGGAAGGTGGAGAAGAGAGGCATCCAATGTGTCTCATTAAAAATACAGAAATACACCCTAGCTCTGTCTGCTCCCAGGTTCCCAATAACCTATGCTTAGTTTACATTTGGAAGCTTCCAGTTTAGACTCCAATCCTATCTTTGATGCTTCAGAAGTTGGCTGAAACTTTACTATGGTGCCTACTGGTTATTTGATTCAAGGCTGCCATTCAATACACCCCCAGTAAACTCTGTGAAGCCAAGGCCCTTGTCTGATTTTGCTCCTCACAATGCCTGGGTCAGTAGAGAAGGGGAAGCCCAAGCCCTGTTTGGGTGGAGATGGGGAATGGGATCCAGCACCAGGTAGGGGTTGGCCATCGCTCACAGTAACAGGAGAAAAGGGAGAACATTCAGGCAAATAAGCAAGGGGGATGGGTGTGCAGCTGGTGGGAACACTTGGATGAGCTCCTCTGCTTGCTTCTGTTTGCTCAAAGAAACAGGAAGCAAGTTCATCAGGAAGCTCGAGAGGAGAAGATGAGAAAGGAAATGCTGTGAAAGCCTTTTAGAAGAGTAGAAAAGTGGATGGAAGAGGCACATAGAATATGATTTCTGGGCAGCACTGAGGGCCAGCTCATCATGAATTTAGGGTGAGACTCATCAGCAGGGGTTTGACCAAATTCAGCTACAGATGCAGGTGTAGGAATGGAGAGCTGAGGTTGTGTGGGGTAAGTATGATAAATATTTACTGAATCAGATCGATCTGAATGGAACTTACATCCTGTCACCACAGAGGGTTGAGAAGCCAGTGTTCTCTTAGGATCCACCTGCCTGTCCCACCCAGGTTTCAGTTTCACCATCTTTAAGGAAAAGATCCACAAAACCCAGAATTCTGAAATACTCACCGCCCTTCGAATCTGTGTTTTAAAAAATCAAACAGTGCTTTTTGCATCATATCTGTGACCTGCAATTGAGCAAGCAATAAGACATGAAAAAACATTACTAATTATGATAAAACAGTCTTATTCCTCTTAATGTTAAAAATCAAGGCTTCCCAATGGGAAAATTTAGCATGTGAGGGTCACTCCCTTTTTCTGTGGCTGAGCTTTGATACATTAACAATGAAACAAAACAAAGTTCCCCAAACTCACTCTTGGAGGGATAATTAACAACATTGCAAGGGGCTTCCATCATTCTCCATTTGACACTCTCTCCCCAGACTGAGTCAACTGTGGTATGCATACATCTCCAAGGCAACAGCCAAGGAAACAAAATAGAACAGAACAGTAGCAATGTACCCCATGGCTTGAAAACAACATGCTTTGCTGCCACCAGCTTTTTTCCAAGTTCAAGAGTCAGGAGAGGGAGGTGTGCAAGGTCAGGTCAGCATGCAAGGTCAAGGATGTGCCAGAGGGCAGCTACCTACCTCGTACCCCTTCAGAGAGGGGCCCACCAGGACCACAGGTCGCATAGAAGGGACCACATCATACGGAGGGGTGTGCTCTGTCTGCAGAGAGAGGAGACGCCTTCAGATGGTTAAAAGGCAGAGGGAACTCAAATATATAATTAGCACATAATTAGCACATACTGTTCTTTCTCAACTCTGTGATACCAGGCACTAACTTCCCAGAAGCTGCCATTCTTTTTGCACTGGCTTCTTTTGCTAAATAAACCCAACCCAAGACTGGGTGGTTTTATTTCCCTCAGGTTTCAAAGTGACTGAGTTGTCTACAGTTTTCTGGCTCTCCTCAAATGCTCCTGATGTTCCTAACGCAGGAGGGGCTGCTTTTGAACAAAAAACTAGTTAGAACAGACAGAAACATGCCTCATGCAGGAGAGGTGCTTTTAAAGGCTTGACCGGAGGTTAATACTGCTTTTCAGATGCATTTGAGTTTTCTCAAGAGTTGAATGATCAGACTTCATGTGGTTAATGACCAAGAAAAGAAAGGTCTTTGGGTCTTAGATGGTGGTCTTACCTGGATAAAACCTTGGTTTTTTGTGACCAAATACTTGACAGTTTCTATTTTGCTGTGAGAGTTTGGAGGAGCCTGCATGCTTGTTTCAGTAAATGGAATCATGATCACTCTTCACAGCTGATGGATTTATATTTTTAGGTTTTTGGTTTCTATCCTTTGGAACTTAAACACTTACAACGTCAGGTTTATGGGTCTTGGAGGGAAGATGGTTCTCATGCGGTTAAAATATCCGAGCAGGCCTCCATGGCCTCACAAGGTTCATTGTCATCTTGCAGTTCTCATGTGCTTCTCAAGAACTGTTTAGGAGGTGTTTCTGTTATATAACTAACTCATTCCCTCCCACAAGAATTTATTTCTTTTTTAGAAGAGCAGGGGGAGGACCTAACTTTGTAGCCATTTCTAAAACTTGCAACAATTTTCAGCTCTTCTGCTTCTAATACAATAATGACAAGAAAGATTTTCCCTCAAATTAGATAACTTATTTGTTTAAAGATCTTAAAATTGGCTATTTTAATAGCAGAAAATGTTAAAATGACTGGGAAAAAAATGACTTTTATTTAGTGTGGAAGACAGAACTATGAGCTAAGACACTGTGACACTCAATGCACACTCCTGCATTGAGGAGAGTCTGAAAAATACATATATGTTAAGAACCACACAGACCAAAAGAAAAATCTTCTCTGAGCTACTGGAAGAATTTAGTCAACTGATTGCAAATGTGAATGCCATTTTTGCATCAGGCTGTGTCAAGAACACATTGCTGTTGCTTAAGATGGCCCTTTACCAACTTTATGACTTGAATCGAATTTCATTTGCTTAAGGGCATGGCGAGGGGATGAAAAAGCATTTCAAATTCAAAAGTTTCCATCGGAGTTTTGCCCATAGTCATGGACAATAGAATCTGAGGGGAGAAAATATGACTGTGACTCTGCTGTCTCAAATTTTACTGCTGAAAGCTTTATCTAGTGTTCAAAATGAATTTTAATAGATACAATCAAGGTAGAATACATTTTTAAACAGAAAAAAAAAAAAACAACAAGAACAAACCCAAGACAAACATAATACAGTGACAGCACAAAGGCCACACAAGCATCACTCTAAAAGCAACCTAAAACATGGAAAACAATCTTATCATTGCATCTCAGGTTGTTTTCTTTTTTTGTTGTTTTTGGTTTTTGAAAGGTCTATATTTAAGCTGACCACATCATTAATAACATAAGAAGAATGAATACCAGTGCCGAAGGCATCATAAGCATATTCATGAGATTATGACATGAAATTAATTCAGCAAAATTATTCAATTATTGCATTTATACCACCTGGGATCAGATTGAAAATATTTAGAAGCCAAGTCCTTGTAACTATGAGGTCTAAGAATACCTTTCCCATCATTATAATTAGGAATATCAGTTGCATGCATTTTAGCTCCCAAGAAATTTTATTTCAAGTCTTTAAATATTCAGTGGCCCAGTATTAGATGGGTCTTGGGTTCCTTCAATTTGTGACTGCCAACTATTAATAGCAATGCTGCTAATCAATCAGCTTCTTCATCAGTAGGGTAGCTACAGAAATTACCTTATTTGATGGAATATTGGAACTTTATGCCCTATGGATCAGGACACCATCCTTTTTATCTATCCTCTCCTGCTAAGTGTAATTTGTTCCAAGTATTTAATGGAAGAATTACAATATACATTTTTCATGTTTTGGAATTTAGGAGTCAGCAAACTTCAGAAAAACCTATCAATGAACACGGTTTTCATTCATGTTCCTATTGGGTAAAGCTCAGAGCAGCTGAGCAATGCTGAATTTTTAGGTTTCTGCTGCCCTGAACCCTGTTAAGTCACCTGGCTATAAGTTTTAGTGGTGACAAGAAGAAAGGACCAGAGAAATGGACCCACTGTCGTGGATGAATAGTTGGCTGTGGCTTTTGGTGCTCACACAAAAATCCAGGGGTTTTAAATTTTGCTTGGAGTATCTCGGTCTTCCACAATGAAAGCAAACACAATTTATTTTGAAAAACAAAACCAAACAGAGTTCAGCATCTGACAGCTCACTGATGACTCAGAGTTCCTCCACAGGGCAGAATCCTACTGTACAGAGAAGGGCTCAGGGCATGGAGAGCTGGAGGCAGAGGAGATTCTACTCCATGCCCACGTGTGTCATGAGAGGTTGTGCTGGACTTGCTGACATTAGAAAGAAAGATTCTAAAGACAGCACAGCACAGCAGGCGGTGGACAGTGGTGTATAAAAGAAAGAAAGGAGTGGGGATTGTGGCGGGGGGCACTATCCTTAAAAAATAATGCTTCAGAGCTACAAAATGTGCTTGGAAGAAACAGATCTTGGAGTCAAAAGAGCTCAGCAGTACCCTAGTTTCCAGTTAGGGAACCAAGAGGATCACTGGGTAGCATCTTGGTTGGCCAGTGGCAAAGGCTCTACGCACAGCCACTGTGTCACCATCCGACAGGTGGGATGCTGAGATCTGAGTGACGGAAGAGGCAAGAACATGGGGAGAGGATTTATATATGACAATAGGAAAAACTCACAGTAAACCGCCAAAACAAGCCTGCAGTTTTCCACTGGTCTTGTTCATCTGCAGATTTTGCACCTAGTGGATTAGAAGTTTAAATAACTGACTAAATTAAAAATTGAAGAATTGAAAAAAAAATTTTTTTTTAGTACAAGCTATGTATCTGGATATCATAAATCAGAATCGAATAATGGTTTTTCATATGCCTGATTATCAGTTAAGTTTCCGGAGGAAAGAAAAGTGATAGAGACAGAAGCATGCACGAGAGAGGTGCATTACAAATGGAGTCTTCAGCATTGGACGTTCCTAGAATGTTGGAACGAATGCCCTTGGTGGTAGCTGTTATTCCATCAAAAAGGCTAAGTACTGTAATGGTGCTTCCACAGGTCACTCACTGAATTTAGCTGGTCTGAATGGACTCAATTAGCTGCTTGATACATTCTTTTCTTAGGACAGAAATGATTGTGTTGAATATTAACTGTGGGACTGAATGCTAATGATGCCAGGGGCAGGATAAACACAGCTCATGTCAATGTGAACTTACCGATTTCTGCTTCTGCTTAGCTACAGCAGCATGGAAAAGAAACAAAGAATAACAAAGCATGCATGTTATTGGCTTTATCAAGGACGCAGACAGTCCACAGGACTAGAAATGTGACGCAGTGCAGTTGAGCGCGTGGACAGACGCAAGCTTGGAAGTTCATGTTACCTTCTTAAAGAAGGGCATTCTTTTCTCTTTGGAGTGGGGTGACGTTACACTGTTTGCACTGGGTTTAGGGGAGCGGTGGTTTGCTGGAATATCATTGTCTTCTGCATCTAAGCCAGTAGCATCTATGTCTATAGCTATATACAGACAAACAATTCAAAAATCATCAGGTAGATGGGAGAGGAAAAATTGGTTATCAAAAAAATAAAACAAAAAGCAAACAAAACTAATCATAGTCAAAGATCTATCACACAGTGCTAAGCACAGTCAACAAAGTAAAGTTTCAAGGTAAAACACATAAAGAATGTCATCAAATTAAACAGAAAGATCCTCTCATAATATCTATGTGCTTGGATACATTTGTTTCATGCTCAATCTCTTGAATAAGATTTTGTTTTTAGAGAAACAAGTTTTTTAATTTGTAGTTTCAAATGTAATATTGATATTTTCCAAATCAGCTGTCAGGACAGAAAACCTTCAATTCTTCCCATAGCTTAAACCAGCTTTCAGATAATCAGCATCAGAAACCTTGATCACTTTTTGCCTCTAATTTCTTATTGAGCTTGGTTGAACATAAGGGCAGTGTGAAAAGGTTCACTGAAATTATAACAGGCATGTGAGGGGCAAAGAGAACAGAAAATCCTAAATCCAGTGACATAAAGAAGTTATAGATAAGACAAATGACTCTAGAGGGTCCCAGGATGGACCAGATGGAAATGATTTCACCATGATCTAGGCACTCTTGAGGCAGGTCTGATGGAAAACTAATTAGAAGCCACTGGATGTGATGACCTCCAAATGAATCTTATACAATGGCCTAAGTAGCCTCCTGATGATTTTATATAAATTTGCTGGATTTACATGAGAGGCAGCAGCAGAAGGGCAGGAAAACTCAAGGGATTATACCACTGATCTCATCTGGAGAATGAGGGGTTTAGGTCTGTGGTTTGACATGCTTTCACCTTTTAAACTCATTGGCTCTGAAAACAGCACTGAAAAATCAAAATCTTCAATGAAAAAGATTCATCATCTCCTTATGAGGTTCATACAATTCAACCACATGCAATCACTACAGAATTTGATCCATGGTAGAAACCAGAGCTGGAAAGTATTGCATAATCAACAGCAACTCTCTTATTTTTCAAGATTGAAAAGATAAATTCTCAGAGTTGAAGGGACTTGTTTTTGGCAAAAGCTCAGAATCTACTTCTGCCTCCGTGGCGCTATATCCCATCCCTCCACCAGGCTGCCTTTCCAGCTGACGTCCTGAAACAATCCTGGTGCCCTCATCCAATTCCCTAAGCTTCCTGAGTGGGGTCATGTCCTCAAGAGTCAGGATTCAGGAAGATATTATGGAGTTGAGCCCACTAGAAAATTATTCTGTCCTTTAGATGGGATCAAGTAGAAGAAGAAAAGAAGAAATCAACTTGTCCCAGGAAAACCTCATATCACATATGTCACTCTCTTTTTTCATGTCGTTCTCTTAACATAAACCACAGTCCATTCAGATTTAAGGACCAAACTACTCTTGTGAAAGGACAGATAGCTTGGTGTTTCAACACCTTAGCTTCCATGCCCTGTGAAACACTGGCTGCCCTGGCTCATGACAGGCGCCATGAACCTTTCCAAATGACCGGAGATCATCCGACAGGCGTCATGCTATTTTTCAATGTTGAAGTTATTATGGATGTTATATGATTCACTCAGCCTTTCGAAAATGAGCTGTCTTGTTGAATTGTTCCTCTTTATTTGATTAGGTCGAAATACTGGGATGGAGCAAACACCTGGCATTGTTAGCACAGTGTTGCAAATATCAGCTCTTGCGTGCACAAAGCTGAGGTCAGATGCTCTTTCTCCATGAGTCATAATGGTCTGAATTAATTCCTGGTAGGTAGTTAGATATGCCCAGTAAATATGTCTTTCTCTTGATCTCATCTGTGCATTTGGATAAGCTCTAGGATAAGCCAGCATGTGTCGTACAATAGAAACATTATGAAACATGCCCAGTGATTTGAACTAATGCTGATGTGTATACCACCCAATGATGCTCTTCCCTGAATCTCAGTTTAGGGAGCATGTTATTTGTATCTTCCTGCATAATATGGAGGGGATGTGGGTCATGTTTTCATTAGTCCCATGGTACAGTGGTCTCCCACCATTTGGGGAACAGGAACCAGTTTTGTGGAAGACAATTTTTCCATGGACCTGGTGGGGTTAATGGTTTGGGGATAATTCAAGTACATTGCATTTATTGTGCCCTTTATTTCTATTTTGTGGTAATCTCAAGATATTATGCCTTGACTTTAGGGGTTAGGGTTCACACTCCTATGAGAATCTAATGCCACTGCTGATCTAACAGGAGGTGGAGCTCCAGTTGTAATGCAAGTGATAGGAAGTAGCTGTAAATACAGATGAAGCTTCACTGGCTAGCTTGCTGCTCACCTCCCGCAGTACAGCCCAGTTCCTAACTGACTAGGAACCCCTGCTATAGTATGTCTTAATCCAAATCAAGGGCTTCCCAGGTGGCTCAGTGGTAAAGAATCCACCTGCCCATGCAGGAGACATGGGTTCCATTCCTGGGTTGGGAAGATCCCCTGGAGAAGGAAATGGCAACCCGCTCTAGTGTTCTTGCCTGGGAAATCCCATGGATGGAGAAGTCTGATGGGCTACAGTCTGTGGGGTCTCAAGAGAGTCTGACGTGATTTAGCAACTAAACAACAACCACCCAAATCAGTTTCCCTTTCCGTGATCAATTCCAATATGCTCTACCTTTCTAATCGGTTATTGGACTTATAAAGGCCACATTCAAGGGACAGTGCCCTTGACAGCCTCTCTGAAATTGAGGCTACTCAGTGGTCTGTCCGAGTTGACGGGACCTTGGGATAGTAAAGCTCAGGAACCAATTTTATGATTGGTCCATTGGGTTTTTTATTTATTTATTTAATTTTTTTTTTGGGGGGGTTTTTTATTTAAAGGAAGAGTGACAATGCATAAAAATGAGCCCAGATGTTTGGCTATACACACAAACAGCCTGCGTCAGGTTTGCAATTTACCTGCATTTGGACAGAAGGGCTCAAAATCCCAAATTGAAGACTTCAGTTTTCTAGTCCTGACTTTGGTTAACTTAGATCTAAAAGCATCTACATTTGTCCTGAGACACAGAATTCTAAATCATTTGGCTAACTTCAAAACACACTAAAGAAATTTACTAAAAGTTGAGAAGCATGTTTGACTCTTTAAATGATTCTATACACTTTAAGAGGCTCAGATGGTTCTTATTCTGAGAGGTGTGAGATGCTCCTTTTAAATTTCATGCTTGCATCAGCATACCTTGGCAAACATTAGTATTTACTTGGGAAAATGGTCTCCTTTAAAAATAGTTTATTTTTGTCCTCTTCATGAGCATGCTTTAGTTTTGAAAATTATTATTTTTTTTTGGCAGAGAGCCTTGGGGATGTTTTTTGAACTCTAAATTTCAATGTAATCTTAGACAGTTGGGTCGAGTTGAGTGATGTGCTGGGGTTGTGCGTGTGGACACACACGTGTAGGTATACAGAATGCTTTGTGCAACCAGCTACTATCTCATTCCCCAGGGGTGAGGTGGAAAGTTTTTACTTTTTCTTTTTGCATTCATTTATTTTTGGCTGTGCTGGATCTTTGTTGCTGTGGCACGGGTTTTCTGTAGTGGTGGAGAGCAGGGGATCCTCTCTAGATGCGGTGTATGGGCTTCTCATTGCAGGGGCTTCTCTTCCTGTGGAGCACGGGCTCTAGGTGAGTGGGCTTCCGTAGTTGCTGCTTGCAGGCTCAATAGTTGTGATGCATGTGCTTAGCTGACCCGCAGCATGTGGGATCTTCCCAGACCAGGGATCGAACCCACGTCCCCTGCATTGGCAGGTGGATTCTCAACCACTGGACCACCATGGAAGTCCGAGGTGGAAATTTTTCCTTTCCAAAAATCCTGGAGAACCTCCGATTATATTTACTTTGGGCAAGTGTTTCTATTCTTTGGTCTTATAATGGGTGGGCTTATTTGTAGATAGGGCCTTGGGAAACAAAAGATGATGATTAATCATTGGAGGCCAATCCACATTTGATAGGTTCAACAGGTTTCCCTGGAACTTCTCTATAGAAGGTTGGGGGAACCTCTCTGTAGAATTTTCTTAGGTTTTTCTATTAGGTAAATTGTAGTATTAATATAAAAACATAGCAGGAGCCTAACGTACTTATTAGGGCTACACTGGTGGCTCATGGGTAAAGAATCCACCTGCCAATGGAGGAGATACAGGAGATATAGGAGACATGGGTTCAATCTCTGGGTTGGGAAGATCCAACTGAGAAGGAAATGGCAGTATTCTTGCCTGGGAAATCCCATGAACAGAGAAGCCTGGAAGGTTATATTCCATAGGGTTGCAAAGAGTCAGACACGACTTGAGAGACTAAGCACTCACATATTTACAATGTATCTATTACACATTTTGTAGGTGGTTAATATTTCTAGTTCACTTAGTGACAGGGTGGTTTGTGCTTGGTATTCAGAAAAGTGATTCCAAATTATAAAACTGTCTCTGTACAAAACTTGGGTGAAGTTAAAAATCTCTTTCTTTTCTTTACACTGTTTTTTTTTTTTAACCAAATAAAAATGTCAGCACTTGCACATTGTAAGGTGAAGATGATGAAAAGATTGTTTTTCAAAAATTATCCATGTTTTAAAGACTATAATTTGTACTTTTCTCTTTTTTAAATTGAAGTATAGTTGATTTAACATATCATGCTAATTTCTCCCATACAGCAAAGTGATTCCATAATACATTCCTTTTTATATTCTTTTCCATTATGCATTATCACAGGATATTTAATAGAAAATAATCTTTATTATATGAAACTCTTACTTGAACTTGATGTTCAGGAATGACTAACGGGTATGGCAGTATTCTCCAGTTTTCTTCCCTGGAGAATCTCAGGGACAGAGTTCATAGGATTGCAAAGAGTTGGACATGACAGAAGCTACTTAACATATATGCACATAACATCCAGCTACAGAAATTAAATGTTACTTTTCAAACACACTCACTTATTCTTCAAAATGCATGTTGTTAGCGCTCATTAGATTGCAAAAATGATGAGAAGGCTACATTTTGATTAAAGGAAACAGAAAACTTCTAGGTTGACAGAAGTGGAGCTGACAATCTGAGGGCAGGGTTGCTATTTAACACAGGGAACTGGCATTTTCCTATTTCAGGAGACAGTGACAGTCCTCAGGAGTCTCTGAGACAGTTTTGAAGACACAGAGGAAGAGAATAAGGTTTGTTCTATAATCGCTGCAACTCCACCCATTTGAGAGGTAGAGAGAAGCCTCCTTTCCATTGGGCACTCAGGGAATATCTAATCACCACCAATCAGGGGAAGACAACCTCACATCATACCTAAAGAGCTCTGATGTTTCATTTCAAACATACTATTTTACTTAACTTTGGGCAACTTAGAATTATAGCTAGTTGTAAGTACATGACTCTGGAATTCAATATGCATTCTAAAACAATTGATTTCTTATTGTGCTCAGACTTTGCTCACTTAACAAATCTTCCAGTTTTAACTAAGAAGCTGGGATGGGTCTCTGAAAGCTGCCAACATCTGGGAACAAGGAACAATCATCAGTAACAAGGGGGACCCTTAAGACCTGGCAGTCATGGTGCAATTATACTGTTCCTTCATTTCTCCACAGAGGCATAATTCTCTGTCTTTGACCTCTTCCCACTTCTAGCTTCCCAGAAATCACCCAAATGCTCCACTGGCCCATCCTTACCATCTTCCTCTGACTCTCAGTTGCATCTCTTAGCAAACTAAGACTCTGATCATAAATTTTCACCCAATTCAACCAATTTGTCTCCTGTAGATATAGAATTCCAAGTTCAACACAGAATGGTAGAGTTGCCAGGCTGAGCAAATACAAATTCAGTTAATGAATTTCAGATAGACAAAGAATCATTTCTCAAGTATGTCTTGAACAACACTGACTTGCACTAAAATAATCAGAAATTCACATTCTTCTTCAGGGCTTTGGGAAGAAAACAGTCATTACTCTTCCTAGAAGTGTTTCCATCTTTTGTTCAGTGTTTCTGTATGTCTTCTACATGTTCCACGGAGCTTCCTAGGTAGAGTTCATGTCAGACCCATCAATCCATCGTCACTTTATCCTTCTTGCTTCACTTTTCTAAACTTTTTATCCTTCACTTTTAATTTAACACTAAGGCCAACACCTCCCATGGCACTCTGATTGATGGTGACTGTTCATTCATTTACAGACCATGACAGTGTGCCCGGGATCACCGTGTACAGGGGGACTAGAAAGTTAAATCTGCTTATCATCTCGATCACCTAAACCGTGAACACACTGACACCATTTCTGGGGTTTTTTCAAAGGCAGAAAAAAAGTTGCCCATATTGTTCCTAACGCAATTCTCATTTCTGCTCCCTCTGAACATCTTGAGGGTTAACTAGTGACTCGGTTTATGGAAACTCACACAACTAGGTAAGACGGAGAAAAGCATGACATGCAGTAGGTACTGTTCAGCACTTACTACCTACTTACCAGATGATGGAGGTGTAGATTTTCTGGAACTAGGTACTATGTCACCCAGACTGGATGATGAATTTCCTCCTGATTTACTGCAGTAAAGCAAAAGTTTATATTACAACTGATACTTATTTCAGAGATGAAGACATCTGTGCTGCTCAATAAACATGGTTACTCATTGTGTTTTTACTGAACTTTAAATCTGCCTTGCCTCCAAGGAGGCAAAGAGTAATCTCCCAGTGGGTTCCTGAAGTGCTTGAAACATCTGTGTCAAGGTCTCTGTTTCAGATTCAAGGCTTAATTTGAAAAGGCCCTGAGAGAATGAGGAAAACTAGGGTACCTGCTGCACCCGTCAAATTCTCTGCCAGGATCGTAAATAGATTTCTCATTTTCAAGACTCTCAGAAGCAATGCATAGAACCCACAGGCTAACACCCACACTTGTTTCTTTTTCATTGGGTTCCTGCTCCTTTTTCTTGTACACCAGAAGAAGCTTGCTTCTTTTTTGTGTACCAAGATGGACAGTATTCAAGTATTCATGAGCAATCTATTAAAAAAAAAAAAACCCAACAACACAGCAATAATAAAATTTGCCAACCTCTAAAACAGTGATCCTCAACCTTTTTGGCATCAGGGACTGGTTTTGTGGAAGACAATTTTTCCAAGGAACAGAGGGTGTGGATTGGTTTTGGATAATTCAAGTGTGTTACATTTACTGAGTTCTTTGAGCAGGGGGTGGAGCTCAGGAAGTAATTCAAGTGATGGGGAGTGGCTGTAAATATAGATGAAACTTCACTTGTGTTCAGCTCACCTTCGGCTATGGGACCTGGTTCCTGACAGGCCAGGGACTGGTATTGGTTCATGGCCTGGGGGTTGGGGGTCCCTTCTCTAAAAGACACTTGAGAGAACATGACAGTGTTCCATGATTTAACTCTCAGAGTGTACCTCTAACATTTCTCAAACATGGCTAACAAGGAGTGTTCAACTTGGCTCATTTAGGAATGATCTGAACTTCAGAACTACCAAATTCTAAAGTTTGATCTGAGACATGCTTTAGTGTATTAAAAACTTTGGAGTTAATATAAGATCAGTGGCATTGATGCTTTTACCAGTGACCTGCAGGCTAAAGGATACACCAGATACATGACCTCCTCACAGAGGTGGATGGAAAGGAGTATTTTTAAAGAGTGACATGGAATTTCAGCAAGACAATCTTATGGCCAAACATTTATCATAGCCAAGCCCAGGTCTAGTGGACAATAATCTGCTATAGTGTCTATGTATCCAAGGGTGAGATTTTGTAAATATTTACATATGTTTAATATTTTATGAATATTCATAAGAAAATACAAATTCCACTAAAATGCCAGGGACAGGCTGAATTTTGTTGCTACCATCCTGGCATTTTAATGTGGAAAAAAGACAAACATCAAAAGCTTTAAACAACCACCAGAGGCCTCTGTGTCTTTTTAAGGTTCTTAAAAGATACCCCAGCAAGTTTAACAAGGACACCAGACACCATGTAAAAGTAGTAAAAAAAAAAAAAAAAAAAAAAAAAAAGTGCTATTTAGAGAAGCCATTTCTGGCAGTTATTTAAAAATACCCATTAGCAAGACCAAAACATTTTCTTCCAGAAGTTTGTTTTTTTTCCCCTGAACTATTAAGTCTAATTCCAGTTCAAGCTTGAATTTATTCTACATTCTCTTTGAATTTTCATAACAATCAAAGTATTATTTGAGTTGTGTAAAACTGTGACAAACAGTGCAAAGAGTCAAAATGTTCAGAATGCAAATTTGCCCTTCACATTTAATTCCATAAAAATGTCATGTTCTTGAGCCAGGCTCCAATTCTACTGCTTTTGATTTCTGCTGATTTTTTTTTTAAATTTAACTTACAAATCTGAGTTTTATAATACTGCTGAATTCCAGCTATGCCCTCAAAACAAAAGTATATTTAAATTTTTGGAGACAAATGTAAAAACCTCTGAATAAGAAAACAAGAAAACAGTATTTTCACCTACTTGGGCAAAAAAAGAAAAAAAAAAAATACTAGTGGATGAAGATGGATGTTCCAAACCACAAAGCATTTTATATTTGACCTGTGTGTGGGCACTCAAAAAAAATTCTTGCTGACACTAAAATATGGTCTTTGACAAAGGCTTTTTTGTCTTCATGGAAATAGATAAAACAAACTTCAAGAAACAAAAGCTGAGCGATTTGCATTAAAGAAAAGACTTGCCTATATCATATCCTTTAACTGGAAGAAGCAAATCGTGTTCCTGTACTTGTCTGCAAGGGGGTCATTTTCACATTTACTTCATATTCGAGGAGCCCTTCTAATGATTCCAGTGAAGGGCAAACAGCCTTAAGACTCCTAGGAAAAAGGATCATTTGGCCCCAGCTTATTACATAACTCATCTAACTGCTATCTGCAAGGACAATTTTAACTGCTTTCTTACTGAGTTTCTCTTTAAGTGTTAAGCAGTGGGTAGAACTGAAAATTGAGTTTCTTAAGTGAAAATGAAACTCAGAGACCACAAGAGCTGCTCCTTGCTGGTCTCCGAGACTGTCATTTCTAAAACATCTTCCTACCGTGCCAGGCAGCTCCAGATACTGGGATTAGTCACCACGATTGCTTGATGCCAGAGTATTTTCAGCCAAAGATTAGGACTTCAGAATTTCCTCTGCACTAAAGCCTGAATGTAATACTCTATGACCTTAGCTCTTTTCTTTCCTTCATGGTAACAATTAATTTGATTCTCTCTTGAAGAGGATGAAAATGAGACGCTTGGGTGATGTTTTTAAAATACAGGATTTGTGATGCTCTCAGTAAACCCTATTACCAGTCTGAACTAAAAGAGCCTGAGAGTTATAAAATACTAGTGAATGGAGACGGATGTTCCAAACCACAAAGCACCTTCTATTTGACTTGTTCGTGGGCACTCAAAAGAAATTCTTGCTGGCAATAATATATGGTCATTGACAATGGATTTTGCATCATTATAGAAACGAATACAATGTAAATTTTCTAACACAAAATAAAGATTGGAGATTACAGCAACCAACGGTTCATGAAGGATAGTACAGTATGAACTCTGACAAAAAACACGATGTTCTTCTCCTACCTGGAGTAGAATTTCCCTTGCTTGGCTCTCTGTTCATGCTGTAGCCTCATGTTTTCTAGCTTGACTGGGCTTGGAATGAATCCGATTTCACAGCCTTCTTTAACCAATCGCCCTATCCACCAGTCATTGTTAAATTTCTAAACAGAAAATGAAAATTGTTCAGATCAGTGCACAGAAGTTAAATGAATCTAATGAATCTTCACATCCTTTATCTTCCCAGTTAATTTTTTTCAGTGGAGAGAAATATGGCAACTACAGAGAACTCTGCCTCAAATATCACAAGTCAAGAAACCTGTAGGTTCAGGTGTTGAGTATGCTAAAAGTGAAATATTTTCGGGATGCTCAACAAACCATCTCTGGCTTGACTCTGCCTTCACTTTCCTGACCATGAGATTTTCCTGAATTCCACTGCAGCTGCTGGCACCACGAGGAGGGTAAACTCTTCCTATTCAAAGATTAACAGCTTTTCCTGACAAGAGACCATTAGGAACTAGGGAATGTTACAGAATGTCTTCCTCTTGTATAATCAGAGTAGTGAGAAGTATTATGAGTGAAAAATACTGACATTCACCTGAAATATCTGCTGTCAGAGCGAAATTTATCTTTGTTGCAAACAGGTTTATAATGACCACAATCTGGTGTTCACAAATGATTTCTCGACTTATGCGAATGTTGGCAATTTCTCTCCTGTGCCTGGAATATTTATCCTGTATCTTTAAGATCTGGTTTGATGTCCCTCAACTGAATAGTACTTTTCAAGCCTGTTCTTGAACATCTCTGTCAACTACAAATTGGCACTTGCCATCTACCTCTACGAGAACTAAATCATGTGCTGTTGCAGCCACTGACCTTCAACACTCCCTGAAAGGAGTTCAGGGTGGAGAACAGAAATGAGGCACTCTGTGCTTTGAAAAAACTGGCAGAACAGGTCTTCCAATAGATATTTTCAGGAGCTCATTTTATGAGCCTAATGCTTACATCTCCTCATATCTAGAAAATCACTAAAGTTCTTCATGATGATGACTGCTCCTCATGACTAGAGAAACCTTCTGCAAAAATATGTGCCTGATTGCATATACTCCTCCTTCATCAAAATCACCTAGATACTGGCCTTCTCCCCTGCCTCTTTGGCGCAGTTTCTCAGAGCCATCCAAGGTGCTGTCTCCTGGGCTATAGTCCTCATTTTGGCCCAAACAAAATTTAATTCGTAACTCTTATGTTGTGCTTTTTTTTTTCTTTTTTAAAGTCAGCATTTCAAAGAAGAAAATTCATTCTGTTTTTCTTTTCTTTCTTTAAGTATCAGTCCTTGGGATGGGAGCCTGGATTCACCTAACTTTCTGTTGTAAAGTGAAAGTTAAGACTTGTTGTACTTTTGAGAATTTTTTCTGTTTATCCTTCCTAGCCAAGGGACTTTCTTCCCTGGTGGCTCAGATGGTAAAGAATCTGCCTGCAATGCAGGAGACCCAGGTTCAAGCCCTGGGTTGGGAAGATCCCCTGGAGAAGGGAATGGCAACCCACTCCAGTATTCCTGGCTGGAGAATACCATGAACAGAAGAGCCTGGTGGGCTACAGTCCAGTGGGGTCACAAAGTCGCTCAGACTGAGCGACTGATTCTTTAACTTCCAATTTTTCCTAGCTGAACAGAAATAACAGCTCTTTTGAAAAGTTAAAGAAATGGTAGGCTCTATATTCTCTAGGCTCTTTCAATGGCAGTCATCACCTCTCTTGCTCATAGCCTTTAGTGCCTGAGCAGTTACATCGATATACGCTCCCTAGGACATGCTGTTCCCTAGATGGAAGTGTTCCAATGGTAAATTCCTACAGGTTCAAGAAAGTCTCACGCTCACAGCCTGAGAACATCATGGAGGGGAAATCTCTGGCAGAGCAGGCTCTGATAAATGTTGACTCAAAATAAACCTTAATTAAGAGTGAATTTTTTCCAATTTACAGACTGAGTCATTGTTAACAGAAAGTGGAGGCTTTTGGCATGGTGGAAAAGGGATGTTCCTGATATCTATTTCTTGTCTAATTCCATCCATTTCTCCTTCCCCTACAGCAATTCACCACCAAAGAAGGAGAAAGAGCACCAGTGGTCTGAGTTCAGACCTTGTAAGCAGAGAGGAGAGACCATGAATTCTAGATACTATTATTAAACTCTCCCCAGATGCTTAAACTTGGGACATGAGGCACAAATGACACATGGTCAAGGTTAAACATTAAAAGAAAAAGTACAGGTTAAATATAAAAAAAGGATCATCTACTCCAGTGGTTCTTGATTTCTAGGTCACAGAGCCCAGGGGAGCCTTGAGGTTATTCCAAGAAGCCTGTGACTTTTTCCTTCTTTAAAAAGGTTATATTTATTTTGGAAAAGGTTGAGAGGCACAGATTTCATGTGTATGTTATATAATCACAGCTATCTATGTGCTATTTCACAGCAATGAGAAGTAAGAAGTGATGTTTCAAGGTAAAAAAAAAAATCATGCAGCCAGAAATTGCAATTATTCTCCTTACTTCCTTAACATGCAGAAAATCTTTTGCTTCGAATGAGATGGCCATGCCTGGCACGGGAACATCATCTTCGTGGGCAGCACTGTAGCTGACATTTGTCCGCACTGCAAATGCAACGGGCTTTGTCTAAAACGGAAAAAGGGGGAAAAAAATAAAAAAAGAAGTGTTCCTTCTCTTTTCCCCTCAAAATACAAACATACACGGAATATCTGTTGTCAGAGTTGTTGTTTTTCCTCAATTTGGTTCTTTATCACAAAACACCATCTTAGTATTTCCAACATGGGAAACCTTTGGGCACTCAGCCACATACACCCATTTCTGAACTAGAAAAAGGCCACTGTGCTTTATGAAAGCACTCTAAGCAGTGAAGGTAGAGATGAACTACTGAAATATGTGTTTACAACATAAAAACTTGTAACAAATGGAAATCAGGAAACATATATAGGTTTGAAATGCCAAGTTCTTGTGTTTCAGTGAAAAAGACTTGGCCACTGGCATATCCACCCCCAAATCTACCTTAATTAATAATAGAAGAGGGAACTTCCCTCGTGGCCCAGTGGTTAAGAATCCATCTTCCAATGTAGGGGACTCTGGTTTGATCCCTGGTTGGGGAACTAAGATCCACATGCCATAGGGCAACTAAGCCCTCATGCCACAACTAAGACCCAATGCAGCCAAAAATTAAAAAAATAATTTTTTTAATGACATGATTCTAAAACATACTTTGTTTTGCCTGAAGAAAGAACCAAGGAATATATCTTATGACTATTAAAGAGTATATTCATGGCTGCTGGGTATCATGAAAGCAATGACTTTCTATTCTAATATTTGTCCTCCTTGAGTTTTCTCAGTCACTAAAGATGATAACATTCAGTAAGCTATTCTTCACTATTTGATGCTTTGCAAATTTACAGATACATTTTGTCCTCTGTCAAGCAATACCTGCTTAATCACAAGGTTAAAAAAACAACAGGTAAACTGAGAAATAGTGAAAAGAGGCATTAACTAGCACTGGGTTTCTTTCACAATGTGGGCAAGAGGATTTCTTCTGAGCTGTTTCTTCCTATTCAAAGAGCTCTTCATCAGGACTGCTCATGAAGGAAAAGGGGGAACTGGAATAGAAAGAACCCATCTTCACTTCTGAATTTTCCATAGTTAATCTGTTCTAGCTGACTACTGTCTGGGTGAGGGCTGAGTTTATTAGAGCCATGGTTACGTAGATTCATCCACAATATGCAGGAAAGAGGTCCAGGTTCTAGATACAGGCACAGTAGACAGGAAGGGGACTGAAAGACATGACATCTAATTCGTGACATCCATTACGAGTTTTAATAGTAGAAGAGGGCTGCTCCTTGTATGGAAATATGAACTTTAAAGAAGAAAAGTAAAAGTTGCCTAATAGTTCTACCACTGAAACACAATCCTGGTTTTTTTAAAAAAATTATTTTTCCTTGGAGGATAACTGCTTTACAATGTTGTGTTGGTTTCTGCTGCACAACAACAGGGATCAGCCATAAGTATACATATGCCCCCTTCCTCTTACGCCTCCCTCTCTCCCCATCCCGCCCCCTAGGTCATCACAGAGCACTGAGCTGAGCTCCCTGTGCTAAGCAGCAGCTTCTCACGAGCTGTCTATCTCACACGCGGTGGTGTATATATGTCAACGTGTGACAATGCAAACGGTATTTCAGGGGGAAAATGGAAATATCATTTTAAATAATATAGAAATTTGTTTCCCATAGCTATAACCATAATGTACCTAATTCATATCCAGTTCTTAAAGTAACATAGTAGTTTTTCCTGTGATACACTTCTTTTTACTCTACCATTTAAAAAATTACCTTGGTAATTCAACCCCTTTTTTGACGTCTAGGTTTAGAGGTTTTTTCATTATGATAAATATTCTGCTTTGAAAAATCTTTGTACAAAAAGCCTCTTTCTATTTAGGATTCTCTCCTTGGGACAGATTCCCAGAGGTAGCATGAGTAAGCCATGAGTTATCAAGACCTTTTAAAATTCTATTCCAAACTACTGTCCAAATGGGCTCTGCCATTTTAAACTGCAACCTGCAGGATACGTTGGTGCCCTTTTCCCTAAGATGCAGTTTTAATTAGACTCAGTTTTACTACTAGAAATAGGATTTTCTGAGTATAATCAATCCACTATTGGAGACAGTTTCTGATCCCTAAAATATAAATCCAAGATTTTTTTTTTAAATGACATGATCTCTCATCTCTCTCAGGGACTTCTTAAAAATTCCTTGGAGGATACAGAATTTAAGTGTAGTGCATGTGCGCACGTGTGTGTACACACACACACATATTTAAACCACTGGAAGATCTAAATTTTTTTTCTCCATTTATTTTTATTAGTTGGAGGCTAATTACTTTACATCATTGCAGTGTTTTTTGTCATACATTGACATGAATTAGCCATGGATTTACATGTATTCCCCATCCCGGTCTCCCCTCCCACCTCCCTCTCCATCCAATCCCTCTGGGTCTTCCCAGTGCACCAGGCCCGAGCACTTGTCTCATGCACCCAACCTGGGCTGGTGATCTGTTTCACCCTAGATAATATACATGTTTCGATGCTGTTCTCTTGAAACATCCCACCCTCGCCGGAAGATCTAAATTTTAAATGTACAACTCTATAAAGGATCCTATGAAAACTCTTCTCTTTTTCCCAATGATCAACTTTTCAGACACTGGAGTGGTAGGAAGAGGGAACACTGAGAAAAGAAAAATAAAGAGGTGGTGAAGGTTAGCATATAATAACCAGGGCAACAGATGATGATTTTATGTTCTTAGATTAAGATTACAGTTCAGAGTGTGACTCCCCACCTGGCTCAACTCTATGACCAACCATGCTTCCCTCAGATAAGGAGCTTTACACAGCAAGCAGTATAGTAGCCCGGCTGGCAGGTTCAGGGGGATGGATTGTGGGCACTTCTGGGGCCACAGGACTTGATTTTTCCCACAACCTAAAGAAGCTCCACTGGCACCTTGGAAGCCTGACTCATGGAAGCCCCTAAGTGCCAGTCAGAGATATGTTTTAAGTTTACAGCAGGAGCAATTATTATTTTTTCATAGTCTTCTAGAATCACTAGACCTAAGGCTGTCAGAAAATAATTATTGTTAAGTACGGGATCATTAACTAACAAATTTCTTTGGATCCAGCAATTCCACTTCTGGGCATATATCCAAAGAAAATGAAACAAAACTACATCAAAGAGATATCTAGACTCATGTTCATAGCAGCATCATTCACAATAGTCAAGACATGGAAACATCCTAAGTGTCCACCAACAGATGAATGGATAATAAAGATGTGAGATACACACACACGCACGCAGGAATACTATTCAGCCATGAGAAAGAAGGAAATCCTGCCATTTGCAACAACATGGATGGACTTGGAAGGCATTAGGCTAAGTGAAATAAGAGAAAGACAAACACTGTCTGGTCTCACTTATATGTGGAAGCTCAAAAACAAAACCAAACCCCCAAATCTCTGGTCATGAAATAGGATAAGACAAATTATCACAAATTCATGGCTTTCTTTTGAGCTTGCTTCCCAAACCATAACTTAATGAGTTGAGAGTGAAGCTAATCATTTTAATGGCTACAACAATGTTTACATACAGTTAATTAAAAATGTGCTAATGATGGAATATCTACTGTTAAAAAGCAAAATGAAATTCACTCAAATAAGAAAAATAGAATTCTGATGATTAATAGTTACTTGAATTTTCAGGCATCAATTTCTTCATTTCTTAATACATTTTATTATGCTAAATAGCAAATTATGTTTTTCCATTTTCATTCAGAGACCATTAGTAGTTAATAACATATAAGGGAAATCCATAGTTTGTTTTCAAGTCTACAATGGGTTTTTCTTAAATATTAAGGACTTCCAACTTGTAGTATTTTTTAAAGAAATTGAAAAGTGTAAAGAATTTAAATGACCCAGATGTCTATTATAAGAGACTGCAGAAAAGACAGTTTAACATTTTAATGAGTCTCTGATCCATTTTCTTGTACATAATAATTTCCTATAAAACTTGCTATGCTTTTCTATGATTTTAAATGACTCAAGTAGGACTATAACCATTGAGACTTACAATGGAATTACTCAGACAAAGATATGGTGAGGTACTTTCAGAAATAAGATCAGAGCTATCTGCTTTATTAATACTTGCCTATCATTGACCTTTTAAAAGATCTTTCATAGTTTATTATAAAGTATCAAGGGTAGCCTGAGAAGTCTTTCATAGCAAACCAAAGCAAACCACAGTGATAAAAAGGATGTAACAACTATTTATATATCCTGATAACTGAACAATGAATCAGACTGAATAAGCAAATAATCACAGATTTGTCATAAAATAAAATTTACATATGTAGTTAACTGATTGGAGAAATTCAAGTTTCCTGTCTAAAATGGATTAATTTAATGAATATTTATTAAGTACATGCTTACTATCTCAGGTTTTTACCCTCACAAAGTTTAACCTATATTCTAGTAGAGGAGATACCATAAGCAAGATAGTTGATGATTTCAAATAAGGAGTAGAGTAAAACAAAGTTATATGAATAGAGTGACCACGAGAAGAAGACAGACTGGCAGTGTGAAATGAGGTGTTTAGGGAAAGCCTCTTTTGAGTTTTCAATTATCTCTTTATTCACCCACCCACCCACCCACCCACCCATCTGTCCATCCATCCATCCATTATTTATGTGTCAGGCACTGTTTTGGACAGTTGGATCACATCAATGACCGACAGAAACTAAGATTCCCTGACCTCTCAGGGCTTACATTCTAGAGGGGGAGAGACAGATTATAAATAATAGACATGATAATCAAATAAAGTATACAACATGTTAGAAAGAGACAAATTCTGTGGAAAACATGGTAGGGAAAGCCAGGCTGCCAGGAGCCAGGGCAGGGACAATTTTCCAGGGCCGTATAGAGAGCCTGCCTTGAGGAGGTAGTGTTTGGATAAACGCATGAAGAGGTAAGAGAATGCCGGCGCTTGAACTCCAGGCAGAGGGAAGAGCCAGCGCAGAGGCCCTGAGGAGGGAGCAGGTCGGATGAGCTCGGAGACGACAGGAGCTGAGAATAGC